GGTGTAAAATGACTGGCTGGACCTGGCTGGTGGTTCCAAAATGGAGGAATTCAATGGATTTCATTGATTTTACCATCGAAATGTTGGTTTCAAAATCTGTTTTGTGTTGTTTTTAGATGTGTTTTGTGCGTGTTTTTTTTTAACCATCCCAACTGGCATGTTGCTGGAAACAGATGGATTATTGAAGCATGTTGAAGATCTACACCTAGGATGATCTCAATTGATTACAGTGATATTCATGGGATGGGTGGAAACCAACAGCCAGTAAATGTGGTTAAAACGATAATAAACCACCCCATTTTTGGTGGTTTATACCACCTATTTATAGTAATTTGGAGGATAGTTTGTTATTGCTTTAACCACATGAAATTCATGAAATGTGTTTTTCTTGATGTTAATTAAATGATGTTCCTATTGGCGAATCCACCAGAAATCATCCTTTGACTAGGTGATTTTTTGAATGCTTATTCTCCCGTTCGCGAAGCCACCAAAAATGAGAATGTTTTAAAACAAGTTGAGGTTTTCAACAACAACTGTTTTGATTGAAAATCGTATGGATCTGAACGTTTTTCATCACATGTTTCCCCAATGTTTCATTGGTGCGAAAAATGCCACTTTCCAAGGCTTTGGAGGAGATGAAACACATGGACTTACCACCGCAGGTGATGCACTACCATGCCATGGCATTGTTGATGGTGAAGCGAATGATGGTTGGCACTGAAGATTCTGAAGCAAAGTCTTCGGCATCGTTGGATAGTATGGATTGAGGCGAAAAACAGCGGCTCTGCTGTGGTGACGTCGGTGACGTCGGTGACGTGCATCCCCCAAGGCCATGTGTGAGCAGGGCCAACCATTGGCACAAAGCAGACCCTTGGCCGCGGTGACAGGGATTTTCGGATGGAGTTTGACCATGATTCCTGGTGATTCCGTCCATGGGGGTGCAATTGGGTTGATTTGTTGGGGAATTTAAGCCCCAATAAGCCCCATAAGCTGGGATATGGGGCGAGAACTATGGGAAAAAAAACGCGCAAATGGGTGACATATACATCCAAACAAGCCGGCATCGCGAGGCTTGTTTGTTGATTCATGTTGATTCGTTGCTCCGAGTTCTGATATGACAAGTAAAATGAGTAAAATGGCAAGCTTTACCAGGCACAAACCATGCTCGCTTTTACCAGATGAATTGGGGATTCCAACCCGGAGGTTGAAACATGTTGAAACCTCCAAGCTGTCATGGCTGGTTACCCCCATGTCCATGTTTTTGCAATGGTTACTTATAAGATCTTATATCATCTTATCTAACATGACTATGATTGACTATGTATACCAGCATTTCATAGCTCATTCGAAAATTCAAGGCCAATCATTAGAATTCAGTAGATGTATATTATACATTATTATACATATTTTTTGTAAACACATTGTTAAACACATGAATTAGATAGTAATGTAATGAAAGATTACCCTCTGGTAATTTGTTACATAGCTCTTGAAAATGGCTATTTATAGTGGATTTTCCCATTAAAAATGGTGATTTTCCATAGTTCTGTTGTTGTTTACCAGAGGGTATATATTCATCAGATTATCTATCAGCAGTCGATTTCACCGCCCAGGCCCTCAGCGAGCTCCGTGGAGGTCGCCTAGGCTGCGTAGGCCGGAGTTTTTTTTTGAGAATAGGACAGTGTCGTCAGCCATGTGAGATAGCCATAGATAGAATACACACACATATAATATATATATATATACATAATATAGTGTATATATATATATCTATGTATATATGATAAAATTATAGAACACACACACACATATATATATATAATATTTATTTATACATAGCTATAGATATAGATAATCCAGATCTTATGTACTTGGTAATCTAACAGTTGGCTACGGGATATCACCATTTTGAATAGGTAAATCAACTACAAAAGGTCATTTTCCATATGGTAGGTGATCCCAGGGTTTATCATGTGGGATCCATCCTAAGAATCTAGATCATTCTAGATCTAGATATGATATGTATACCTATAGGTATACATTTATATTTGCCATATATACCCTCTGGTAAATAAACATAGACCCTGAAAATCACCCATTTTTAATGGAAACTAGTCTTCCAACCCCTATCTGCCAGGGTCTATGTTAGTTTACCAGAGGGTGATATAAATACACTCAAATCGCTGCGATGGTGACAGGTTGGGGACGCTACGAGCTGCCGGGACACTTAGTCGCGGCTGAGTTTGATCCGCCATTGGGATTTTCCCAGCGAACCAAACCCCCTGGATGTTCCATGGCCAAGTTTGATTTTTCGGGTACCCTCTGGTAAACTAACATAGCTATGGTAAATGGCCATAGAAATAGTGGATTTACCTATTAAAAATGGTGATTTTCCATAGCTATGTTAGTTTACCAGAGGGTAACTGAAAAAAATCAGCTGCTATTCAATATTGAATCTAAGTGGAAGCATGTAGAAGGAATAATCTCTTCCACATGGTTGCGCTGAGATTCAATATTGAAAGTCAACCGATCCCACTGCGATAATCCACTTCAGACCGGAAAGGGGGCTGCAATCACCAGATTGCATTCCCCAGGCATTGTTGAATGCCAACAACGTCAGTACCATTACCATCGATTATACATATATAATCATATTATATATATATTATAACTATATATAGATAATCGTATGTGATCAATGTCCAATATATATATATTATGGATTATTATGGATTCAAACAATTTTTTCCATTGACTACCATTTTTGATCAATATCCCGAATGTTTGCTTGGTGAATTTCCCACCCTTACAGGGCTCTGCCAGGCGACGCCGGAACGGAGATTTCATTGCTGCTTTTCGTGGCGCGGCGGATAGAACGACGCGGGTTTATCTCATGTTTGTTTCCTGAATCCAAAAAAAATACATTAGATAATCACTAGATTAATATTCTTATATTCATATCCATGTAAGCCCTTATGACAAGGTCCGGATTAATGATTTGGGTGTGTGAAAACTGAGCACCTAAGCGCATGAATATATATTAATATCATTTCTACTTGGTGGTGTGGATCATTTTTTCCATATATTGGGAATAGTAGCTCCAACTGACTAATATTTTAAATTTCAGAGGGCTTGAAACCACCAACCAGATTTCAAACTCCAAACTTCCTTGTCATCCATCATGGGTCCAGTTGGTCGTCCAAGCTGTGGAAATACTGCAGAGGCATCGGAGTTTTTAGGAATTTCTAACCCATAGGATCAATGTATGGTATATATATGCTAACATTTGGGGTATATTGATGGTAAATGTCATCATATATAGCATACATGGATCCTATGGGTAACTGGTTGGTGGTTTGGAACATGACTTTTATTTTTCCACAATATATGGGATGTCATCCTTCCCAACTGACGAAGTCATATTTTTCAAGATGGTTCGAATCCCACCAACCAGCTAAAGAACATCTTAAAATCCATGGCCTGGTTTTCCAAAGATCTGTGCAAAATTGCTGACCCTTTTTCGTGTTGAATCAAAGATGGCAATGAAAAATCATCTTTTACAGATGATTTCGTTACGATGATTTTCCCAGCAGACTAAACCATACTAAACCATTATAAACCTACACATTCATGATGGGATTTTACTGGATTTTACTTCCAAAAATCTATGGGATTTCCCATGGGATTTAACCCACCCGATTTTCTCAGGTGCCGAACCGCCGTCGCCAGAATGTCTGGCCTTCACCTCGTCAGCGGCACCCAGTGGCATCAGCGGTTCCAGCGGAGGAAATGGATGGAGCTTGAGAGCTACAAAAAATCATCGAGTGATGGGGAAAGTGATGGGAAAATTCTCATGGCTTTGATGGTTTACTAAATGATCAAAGCCATTTATCATCTATAGAAATTTAATGAAATTTATCATGGGTTTATCATGAAATTTATCATTTATCATCTAAATGATCTAAATGAAATAATATCATAAATTATCTATCATGTGCCCGGCACGGGCAATTTAACATAGGGAAAATGGGGACCATTCAGTTCGATGGTTCACGCACCAGAAACTGTGATTTTCCATAGTGATGCCAGATTGCCGCATTTATCAATATTTTGATAGGACTGTATTTTTCTATGTTCTTTGATTCGTTGTGATACTCATCATCAAATGATAGCGGTACAAAACCAATGAAAACCATGGTTTAGTGGCGAAATGGTTGGATATGGTTGGATATAAAGCCAGCTTGATTGGACAGGTGGGTGGGTCTGAAAATGGAGGATACCTATCAAACGATTTTTGGGTTCATGAAACGTACATTTTGGGCTTGAGACATGCTTCGAGGGAGGAGTTTTGCAAGGCATCAGGCTCAAGCAGTTTTGTCACCGCGAGAAACACCGAACCCTGGAGACGGCACGGAGACATGTCGATTTCACGCTGCTTCAGCAAGATCCCTTTAATCTTCAACAAGTTTCATCATCATGACCTCAAAACCATGCATTACCCACATCATTTCACACAGCTCAGTTGAACATGTTCAGCCCCACACATGCACACGCACGCACACACACACACACCAATTTATATAATTATTTATATTATATATGCATATATATATATACACATACATACATGTACACATATATGCGCACATGCGCACACACACATATCTATATCTCTATCTATATGTATATAGATAGATAGATAGATAGATAGATAGATGGATAGATAGATAGATAGATAGATATGCTCACACCCCTAGAACCTACCAAAACAATGTTTTACAGTAACTGGTATTTACAACCATATATCGACATATTTAGATATATGTAGCTAGAGATATACATACACACACACATATATATATATATACTCTCTGTATTGCATAGATATAGTTATAAGTTATAAATATAGATATATCATATACACGTAGATATATGTTATACCTGCATCCACTTGTTTGATTAAGTCACTGTTCCCCCATCACGCCCTGGGCAGCAACGCTATGGCTGCTCCAGCTGTGACGACTCTGGCCCTCGCGGGGCCCAACGCCCGAAATCCGGGAGATTGGCCGTGCCAGTTCTGCAAAAAGGTGCAGTTTTCCCGTGACTTGTCGTAGGATCTTGGGAGGAACTGTTGGGAAACAGACCATTTCAGTGGCAAAAATGGATTGAAACATGATGAAACATGAGGTACTGGTAATGTGGGTAAAACTGGCTGTCATGCTTACCATCCCCCGGTCATCACCATTTTGATCGGTGGCTTTTGAACCATTCCGTAATTTCACATAGCAATGGAAAATGAGCCATTTAGTTCGATGATGTACCTACTACAATGTGGTGATCTCCTATAGCCATGTTAGTCAGAGGGTGCCATGCGGTGCCGCTTCAGCTTCAGTAGGCAAGTGTTGCTGTGGGCCAATATGTTAGTCTAAAGCAATAACACAAAACCGCCCATATGTTGATGGTTTATACCACCCATTTATGGCCAAATTGGGGATGGTATGGGATGGTTTTTCTCTAGTGACTTTGGCAACTTTAAATCGATAGTATATAATCCAGAAAATCAGGGATCTATAGGGATCCAAGATCATCCCTATGTCATTGGCATGAAACCCATAAAAAAAGAGTCGGGTTTTGTGGGAACGATCATCCCAAAAAGAAAATCACTGGCAAACGGATCAGGGGATCATCACAAGTTCACCCATGTCTAGATGAGACCTGGGGGCCATGAAAATCGGGACCGAAGCCGAAGCTGGATCCGGAGGATCCGGTTTGGGGTTTGGTTAGTTTGGTGAACCCCAGTTCCTCATCGTTCCTCATCGTTTTTTTTATCGATCCTGCTGAGGTGATATCAGCTGCAAAGATTGCGGGGCCCGCAGGCCCATCTCAGGCACCTATGGCACCCCCTTGCCTGCGGCCGAAGAAAATCCGCTGCAATCCCCGACAGGATCGATGGGATGCTGCCGGACTGGTGTCATGAAACGTGTTGGCTGGCGAATCCGGAGCTAAATGGAGGTTACTGTAAGATAGCTAGGAAAATCATACCCTCTGGTAAACCTTTACATAACGAACTGGAAAATCACCATTGTTGATGGGAAAATCCACGCACTAAATGACTATTTTCAATAGCTATGTTTGACATAACCAGAGGGTATTTTCCTGGGGGATTTCCGATTGATCGGCGTGTATCACCGGTATCACCTCGGAGAATCGACTCAAAATCGAGCCGGGGATTCGTTGCTTGTAGATACCCGGCCTGGTAAACATAGAAAAAGCTATTGAAAATGGCCATTGAGTTCGTTGATTTATGTTGATTTACCCATTGATAGCATGGTGATTTTCCATAGTTATGTAAACGTTTACCAGAGGGTAGATGATGGTTGACTTTGAAAACGTCCAACCGTAGCTCAGATCAACCCACTGTGATGTCCCATTCGTTTTTGAAACCTTGGCCCATTGCGGGACGTATCAGTATCGTTTGAATCCCCAAGTCATGGTTTTTGTGCCGACATCGTGAAGAGTTGGAGTATGTTGGAGGATATTAATTGTTTATATATATATATATAAACATATTAATTATATCATTGATATGAATTGATCCTAATAATGGAGGATGGTCATCAATTCATCAATCATCATCAATCAGTGATTTGGATCTCAGACCTCCTAAAGGATGGCCTTTTTAGTGGGACACCCGCCATCCCCACATCCCGCGGGGCGGCAGGACAGCCTGGGGATTGGACCTGTCCCAAGTGCAAGTCCACGAACTTCGCGCGGAATCCAGTCTGTGGCAGGTGGGGAGTGGGGGATGGTGCTGGAAGTTCACCAATGTTCACCAGATCCCCTTGGTGTTTTTTTTTTGGGGGAACCCGACAGGAAACACCCTGATTTTTACTGGAAAAAAAGGCCCAACTGGGTGATTTCTGCAACTCTTGCTTGAAAAACATCGTGAAAGAAGCCATTCACAGCAATATAGCTGCAGTGAGCAACATGACAAAGTCCAAGTTGTGAGATGTTGGAACTCGAATGAGGTAGACAGACCTCAGCTACCACTTCCATGTCACATCCTATGATCTACGGACATCTACGGGCAACGTTTGTGTAGTTGCAACTGGCAGTGTTTCAGTATGACCAGTTGACATATGTTGACATTCTATGTTTACCAGGCCGGGTAAGGTCCCAGAGACCATGGTCATCATCATGGCCCTCCAGTGATAAGATCCATCAGATCCATGAGATCCGACCAGGTGCAACTGTCCGAAACCTGAGACGGTGGAGGAGTACAATCTTTTGGCCATGGCGGCAGTTGGATGTTTGCCAGGCGATTTTTCGGGGCGGCAACATGCTGCAACTGGAGTTTAAGGCAGTTGGACGAAAACTTTCTTGGTCTGAAAAAAAAATCGTCATAATTGTAGAACAACACTAACAGCATATAGGACGTTTGATGACGTTTGGATGGTGTTCTGTTGTGCGAGACTTGTGAAAGCTTCAGAACATGGTTGATCTTCAACGAGTAATATGAGTAATGTCCCCCCCGTTGGGCGTTTTTTTTGGGGGGAGCAGCAATTGCCACATTTCGGGTCAAAATCAGAATATGATGGAAGAAGTGGGCCCTGGCCGCTGGCCCCTTTCCATCCTGCAGACTTATTTGATCTTATTTGATCCCAGAGATCTATGAAGTTGGTTGATTTGAAACATTTTGAAACAGCAATGAACATGGTTTGATCACCGCTTTCTGGTTGTATGGGTTGTATGTTGTTGTAAGCGGCTTGCCTGTTTGATCACTGTTTGCAAGCAAAAAGAAATGGGACGATCATCCCAATGTTTCGGTTCACAGCTGCTGCGCCGGCGCTATCCGGCGCTCGGTATGCCTCGCGACTAGCCTCGGTGCAGGTCAACATGGTAGCGCCAAGGGCTATGTGCCACCAACAGCTCAACTTAAGAGTGATGCTTCATCACCTTGGGCGAGGCAATGGTGCGCTGGGCCTGTGAATGGTGCCATGGAAGCAGTTGGAGTTTCATTTTTCGATGAATCATCGAAAGATGCTGGGAAAATATGATGAGTTTCATGGTCATATGATCAAGATATGATCAAGATGAAAGCCAACGCCTCAAGCCGGAGGTGAGTTTCATGAGGTGATTTGAAGATCCATCTGCCTGTTTTAGGTCAGGCTGGCCTTGTAACGATGCATGGTTCTGAATTGGATCCAAAACTCTTGACCCACTTGCGTTGCAAAGCGTCCAACCCCTACATAGCAAGCAGGGCAAACCACGTGTCAACAGACTGCAAGGGGTGGCTGGCTCGTGTCATGTTTGGCGCCAAACTTCTTTTAGAGCACATCTTATCATGAAACTCTCGGAGTGCTGCATTGGAACATATTGGAACTGCATGGATAAGACGTGTGTTTACATAGCTTCATAGCTTTCATAAGGTTCCAAAGATGATTCGAGTGTGCCACTTAAACAGCTAAGATGAATTGATATGATCGGGAAGGGATCATGCTTGGTCATGGGATGATGTTGATATGTTGGATATATCTGATTTTCACATTGTTTTTGGATGTTCCGTGACGTGGATCGTGGTTTACAACTCCTCCATTTTTTGAAATGTAAGGAATTTTCACATAGTTTGGTGGTGGTGTTTTGGATGTACATTTACGTTTATATCATAAATATTCCATGGTTTTTCTGCGAAATTAAGCCTTTTTGACCAGGGGTTTGTGGACCAGTTGAGGGCACCAACCAGATCAACACCTGCACACACTTGTAGACTCTGGCAATCAAAGATGGCAATTGAAACCCCCAGAGATATCTGGCTGGTTGGTGGTTCGGAACATGTTTTATTTTTCCATATATGGGAATATCACCATCCCAACTGACGAAGTCCATCATTTTTCAGAGGGCTGGCGAGCTCAACCACCAACCAGCTGGGCATTTATATTGTGAAGTCATTTGTAAATGGTGGATTTTCCGAGAATTTCATCATTACCAGAGGGTAGATGATGCCGCTCCGGCACTGGTGAAACACTAGGTATGTTTGTCGGTGAGACGAACCTACCTGCACCTTGGCACGGGCTGCTTTGAAAAACTTTCCACTGAAGAGAGAGAGCTGTTGGAGCTGTTGGCGTTCTGGATAGCTATGGTTTCTAACATATTCTATCCATATTCCCAAGAAAGAAATGGGGAAGCAGTTGGGGCTTCATGGGGCTAGCAAAATTTCCAGCTCATCGTTTTCGTGGGGTAAGGACTGGATCTGTCACCATGACAATCCAGTCACAACTCACTGGTGAAAACGGAGCATTTTGTATAATTTTCAGATATTTTTGTTAGATGTTTGAAGCTCAATTGGGGTTTTCCCATGTTCTCCCCATTTTACGCCCGATAGTTATTATTGCTGTTTGAAGGGAACACCTGCAGGAAAGCCTTAGAAACGCCCGCGCTGATCAAAAAAAACATGCAACATAATTATGTCAACATATTTCAACCATGCATGTTTAGCATAAACCCAGCCATTGAACTACAACTTCAGAAATTTTAGGGGGCTAACAACCTCCTAGTGGTTCTTTGCTACGACCCTTTAACGGTCCAAACGGTGCTTCCAATCTCCTGGCCGCACAGGGCTGGCTGACGGGGGCGAACAAAGAGGACGGAGGATCTGATTCCGAGTCCAACAGCCAGGTGGGACGGTGGAACGATTTGCTTCGCTGATTTTAGGCTTCATATTGTGAAACTATGAAAGTTGTGGATTATTGTGATATAACTATCTATATTACATATACTGTTTGTATAATGGATCATGTTAAAAAGAAATCTCTTATATACATAATATATATATATACATAGTTATATATATATGCATATATATATATATATAGTTACCATGAATATTATTTTTTCAACATTTCAACATTCATCATTTAAATACACATAGAGACACAGCATGTATAGTTGTAACGGGGATTTTGGTATTCACAGCAGAATTGGGTTGATCAAAAACCTTCAGCCAACCCTGGGGCAGATCCATCACCCTTGTTGGTCAGATTGCTTAAGCTTGATCTTACTTCAATCGCCGAAATGACTCACATGTTTTGGGTAGCATTTTCAGACGAAAAATGGTTGATGTCTGACCGTGATTTTTTTTTCGGCCGCTGGAAGTTGATGCAGTTGATGCGATGCATTGTTTTGCGAATTTTGATCGCTCGCTGGCAGACCAAGAAAAGAAAGTTAGAGGCCATGCTCAGATCACAGCATCGTGTTTCTCAGTGGGGGGTAGGTTGACATAGTCTCTATTGTTGATACCGAGAAAATATGGTGAAATAGCAGCTGAAGGTGGGAAATGGTGGGAAGATGAACAATTAGCCAACTGATACCTTTTAATACCTTTTATATACATGTCTTCTATGGTTGAAAAGAACATTCAGCGATTGAATCTGAAGATCATCAACCGTGGCAAGCCGGGAAATCCCCGAACAAACAAGCCATAGAGGTGTCGTTTTTTGCTGGAAAAAACATCTACAAATGGGAGGTTGTTTATAGCCAGGTTTCAACACACCGGAGGGTAACATATACTGGTTGGTGGTGACTGGAACATGGCTCTTATGACTTTCCAGAAACAGTTGGGAATGGAATGTCATCATCCCAACTGACTTTCACTCCATCATTTTTCAGAGGGGGTGGCTCGGCTCAACCACCAACCTTGGTATATATAGATATGCCATGATATCCCCATTAGATCCCACTAAATCCAGTGAATATCAACATTTCCCATGAAATGCTGAGGGATATATCCCCCATGGAGAGAGATCCGGGGATATCCCCCAGTCAGCCCCAGGCTCAAGGAAATGCAGCCGCAAAGGCTGCCCCGAAAGGAGAAGCGAAGAAACGGCCAAAGATCAAAAAGAAGTACTCCGGGTTATCCAAGGAAGCTGCTTGGTGATGTGGGAAGAGGAATAGCTAAATGTAAGGATGTAAGGGGGGTTAAATGGGTCAGTTTAGGTCAGTTTACCTCTGTGTTTAACCCATTTAAACCCCTCCAGTGTACCTGTGGTGTTTGGATGAAACCCGAAAAACGCGTGATTTTAACATATGTCAACTTCATATTTTAACCAACAGACATTGAGATTTAACATGTTTTTTAAGCATTAAGGGATATGACCACGGATGATCTGCTTGGCTGCCAAGGGTTCCTAGGTCTGCAGCTGAAACTCTTCCACCCCTCTTGGGAGGATCCACATTTGCACAGAATTTATCAAGATGTAATTCTGTCTCACAAAAACATACATATTTGCGGTATGTGCATAAATATATATATATATATATTTATTTATTTATTTATGTATTTATTTATTTATATGATTCTACATGTGTGTGTTGTACATGTGCATATAGGTATACATAGGCATACATAATGTATAATAATTACACAATATGCACAAATGGTGTGGTGCGCGCGGGTGTCAGCCATCGCTTTCACCAGGTGGTGAGCTGCAAAATTCATCAACACCCCAGGAGAAAAATGAAGAAAATTCAAGCCATGGCACTTGGCAGGGTTTGGGGCCCGCTTTTTGGCCATTTTGGCGCCCCTCAGCACCTAGGAAATCGCCAAGAAAAAGGCGGAGGAGGAGGAGGAAAAGCGGCGGCAGATGAGGGAACGCCGTAAGGATCGTGTGATCAAAGTGGACTAAGCCGATAAAGCTCAGCCCAAGTTGGTCCACTGAGCACTGTGCTGCGCTCAAAACGTCATGAAGTTTTGGCCACCTGTGGTGCAAGACAGAGAAAACGCCATGGAAAACGTGGGAAGAGCTGGGTCTAATGGAAACCCCCAAGTTGAATCATCCTGGGAACGTTACAAGAAACATGTTGAAGCTTCTGACTCCGGGGGAAACCCAACTCTCACGACCTTGAGGTGAACTGCTGCGGCGAGTGACAAAAAGTGGGACAGGTCTGAAGGGATGCCACTTTCGAGAACCGGGTCTGGTTTGGCAGAACCAGCAACATCAAGCAACATGTGCGGAAAACACAGCAATGGAAGGTCATATTTCCATATAGTGCCACTGCTGCCCCCATCTAACCCATCTCAGATCCCTGCAGAAACGCAGCTGGAAACCAGCTGATCCAAAGGACCCTGCAGTACGGCGCAGGTGGGGCCACACCCGTAGCCAGGGTCACTATGTGAGTAGTGGCTGTGCAAATCAACACCGCCAGCAAGAATCATGTAATACGGTAATCCAAAACATCAACTCTAATCAACTCCATGATTCATCGGGTGAATTCGAAATGGTTAGCATTGCAAATCCATGTTTATGTGATTTCTCGTGGCTTATCTTTGGAAAGTGATGGATGGCGCCGCCTCCGCCACGAATTCGAACTCGCTCATGACTCGCTCATGACTCGCTCAAACGACTCGCTCCTCTGCGAAAAGGATTCGTCGCCAGGGTGAAGATCACCATTGTTGATGGCAAATCTTCAGGGTGGTTGGTGTGGTTTCTCTGAAGAGTTCTTGGCTGGTAACCAGAGTACTGGGTCAACCTTGGTTAGATATTTTGGTACTTTAATCTTTTGCTATCAATGGCAAAATGTACTAACCAGCTAGAATCAGCTAGAAATTAGATTTTTTGCAGGTATCTAAGATTTACATAGATTTACCATGAGAAGGTTGCAAAAGGCAGAAGGCACGATTTACCATGCATTAATTAACCACGGGGCTAGCTGGGATGTCTCCCTGCGATTGTCCAACAAATTCTGATCGTTTCAATTGAGCCGATCGGCCAATCGGCATGAAGTGCACCCCATTAAAAGTTTACCCTCTGGTAAACATACAAAAAGCTATTGAAAATGGCCATTTAGTGCGTGGATTTACCCATTAAAAATGGTCATTTCCCATAGTTATGTTAGTTTACCAGAGGGTGACATGTTCACCACCTGTAAACAAAATGCGACAAGCCTAGCTTTTTGGATGTTGTTTTCCTTCCGTATTTTCACCATGCGCAATGATCTCCATGTCCTTAGGACTAGCCTCGAACGCTTGCGAGAGTCAGTGGCTGAGAGGGCTATGTCGGCTGTTAAAACCTTCGTAGCCTTTTGTTCACACCAAAATAGTTGCGATGTATGGATGAATGGATGTGAATTACGGGATTTTTGTGGGATGTTCGTATATGTTCGTGTTAGGGGGTGTTGCTGTAATGGGATTTTGTGGGATATTTTGTGGGATATAAATGGATATAATGGGATGGTAGTCCCCTAAATTTGCATAGGCCAAGTGGGTCCATCTGGGTAATGGGTCATGTGCCATTGAAATGTCCTGTCCATTTGGGCTATCAATCCCTGGCGGCTGGGGCTGGTAGATGTTGATAGATGTTGATGGAGAGAGGGAGAGATTTGATTTCTTCCTGACTCCCCAGCTACCTCCAATTGATCCGTGCGACGATGTTTTTCGCTTTTGGGGATGGGTGCCCTCCAATTTTGGTCGCACCTGAAACAGAGGTTTGAGATGGAGCTACCCCAATAGCTGGATGGTTTATAATGGAACATCCAATCATATCCAATCATAAAATGGATGATTTGGGGGTACCCACATTTTTGGAAACCTCCATATGGTTTGATGACCCCTTCATTCTTGAGTATGAATTACTAATCGTTCATAGCTGGAATTTAGCTCACTAATCCCCCTGAAAAGTTCGTAATTAACAGTCAGCCAAGCTATGTTTCACCAAAAAGTTCATCATTACCAGCTTGGGTCAATCATCAACTATAAATGATGGTTAATTTCTGTTAATTGATGTTGATTGAATAGCTAATCAATGCTAATCATGACTAGCCAACCATCAAAACCCCCAGTAGTGATGGGGGGAGTTGTCCCATACCATCGTCCGTTCGAGGATCGAAAGGCATTGCTGGGGGCCTGGAACTTAGCCCCAATAGAGCCTGGATAGATGATGCAGGACGTGAGAACACCTGGAATCTTTTGGAGGTTTGATTTGTTTATAATATATTATAATATAGTACGTTATATTTATATATATTGATAATCTAGATATATGTTACAACAGAAAATGGAACAGAAGATATTGTGTCTGGACATTCTGGTTGTTAAACGTACACACATATATATATATACGTATATATATATATGTATATCTGCATGTGACGATAGCAGAACAAAATATGTATGTATGCATAATTATACATTGACATGTATTACGTCCAGACACCTCGTTTTGCGTGACTTGTGCAATGACGCACAGGTTCCCTACCTGAGCTCTTCAGGAATGCCAGAATGACTCATATTGAATTTACATGAATTTACAATGTTTTGAGAGTCCCTGGGGCAAAACGGGATGTTTGCCCGTAGTTATGCAGTACTACATATAGGAAATATATAAGAATGATATGTCGTATGATATGTTCATAATATTATGATGGATTCATATTGCTCCTACCAAGGTAGGGCAGGTAGGGAGGTGGTGCATCACGTTCGTTCCGAGGAAAAGAGTTAGCTTCAACTTTCGATGTATGACCGTGTTACCAGCTTGGCAGGCTGAAACCAGTCAGCAAATCTGGCCAATCAAGTGTGCATAGCCTTCTGGCTCGAGAAATAGCTTTGCTTGCAGGGTAAGAATAGGTGTATCCCAAGACTTGCCCAAGAGAGCATGGAAGGCCAAGGTCTTGATTGGTTTTTGCTACTGAAGATGCCCACTTTCAGTCTTCGATGTTCAATTTTTTGGGTTGATGTGTGGTTTGCACTCGCGGCCAGACCCTCACTGCTTAAACTTATAAGATCAGCCCTACCAAGTCTGCAGCCGGCTGCAGTTACTGTAAGCAGCCTGTCAGTTGTGGTAAAAACACGTGACCTATGTCAGAATTTTAACAAAAGCATAAAGGAAGTATCCGGGGAACCTTGTGGAATAACCGGTTTAAACCTATGAAATTCATGAAGAATCAGCTAGCTCAGCTAGTCACCTAGTCCTCAGATGTCCCCAGTGGGTAGACCTTCGACAGTCGCAACGTCCCGCGGTCATGTCCTGCTGTTGTTTTGACTTTCTGTCTCCAGCTGAGGAGGTCGGTAGCTGGGGATAACAGGGCTCGAAAACGGCGAAAAACGTTGGGTGGTTCCGACCGTTCTGACCGTTGAAACACCGCTTAGAACGCCGTTCTAAAATCATGTGTTTTTCCATTGTTTATCATGTTTTTTTCCAGGGGGTCCTGCGGTTCAAAGCAACAATTCGCACAACATGACGACCTCAGATTTGAGTGAAAAAAGTGGTTCCAACCATCAGAACAGCACCATTTCGATCCATTTATAATTCTATTTAGATCCAATTTTCCTCAATTTTCTGCATATATCAACCTGAGTTTCTCACCATACATCGAAGGTGGACGTGGTGGTGGTGGGTGCCGGTTTGGCCGGCCTGGCCTGTGCCCTGCGTTTGCACGATGAGAATCCCAAGCTGCGCTGTGTGGTGCTGGAAGCCCGGCAACTGGTGGGCGGACGCGCCTCGCGAGGTGGAGCTGATTGGGTGCATGGGCAGCATGTGGCCACCTGGCGATATCTGCAGCTTGGGTCAAAAATATCCAAAAATGGGGAAAACACCATGGGAAAGCCAATTCCAATGCCATGAAATCCCCAATGTTGTGCTTTATGAAATTGGGAGTGCCCCGTTCTGACTGGGATGATGTAAAAAACGACCCCCAAATGGTGGGTTTACCACCTGCAAAAGCAAACCGCTTTGGGGGATGGGGTGGTTTGAAAAGGACATGGGGAAGGACCTTTGCATTTTTTAAATGTTGGTAAAAATTGGGAATGGAATTTTGAAGGCACGTGGGAGTTCGCAGACTTTGAAAAGTTTTGGCCTGTTTTGGTATACCACAAGTATCCACAAAATCCGCCCAAAAGCACTTACAAAAGAGCCAGCAAAGCTTCCAAAAAAAAAGCAATTCTCTGATCCCCCATTCAAACGAGATTAATTCACTTATTCTCGGATTCTAAGCACATTAAAATTTCTCGGATTCTGAGCCAAGGAAGCGCTTCAACCTTCAGACTGATGGCTCCCAAAATGGCTGGGACAACTATGTCCCTGGAGGGCCTGAATGCTGGATCTATGTTGATGGCAAACTGCGGGGACCTGAAGAAGTTTCTGCAGAGCCCAACCGGTGCCTCGAATGGATTGGGATGGTCCATGATGGTCCCTACGGTTGAAACGGTTGAAACTATGGTGTGTTTCCCGTGGTCAATCAATAGCTGGTTGGTGGTTTCAAACATGAATGGATTATTTTCCATGTCATATATGGGATATATAATCCTTCCCATTGACGAACTCCATCATTTTTCAAGATGGTTCAAACCACCAACCAGATAGGTTTCGCCCTGGGGGGTCCTGTGATGTCCTGGATGTTCCATTCATCCACTAGGCTAGGATTGGCAAAAACGGGATGGTGGCAGTATAATGGACAATGTCAACGGATTTATGTAGTAAAATTTCTTGTAATTATAGAGGGGGTTCTATTTTTGGGCTCCCCCCAAATAGTGAGAGTTTGTGCTACTAGAATGGTGCCACCAGAATTCTTCAGCAGCCTCTGAAGGCTTATTGATCCGGGGTTGACATGCGTTATATGATCAGCGGCGATGTACTTGGGAGATAGGATGAGGTTAGCCGACGTTAGTTATGCGGAAAATAGATGAACTGATGTTTGGGCCGCAGCCCAGCCGATCGAATTCCCAAACCAACGGGATGAATCTACATCAGACCAATGATTGAACTATTGGATATATGATATATGGATATTATATATGATATATGTTTTTTGATATTGATAACGATATTCCTGTTGGTTTGGATTTTTATATGTCTATAGATCGGAGCGACCAGCAGATCTCGAGATCCGGAGCCAGGTTGTTCTTTGGGAAGTTCGAGGAACTCATTGAGCCGCTCGGTCGTGGCGCAGTGACAGAGGTTTCCGTTGGGGCCCGTTGGGGTTGCGGTGGAATAGCCCAACAGGAGGATAGGTTCCCATTTTTGTGACCCAGAAACTGATCAAACTGAAATGTGAAGTCGGAACATGTTGGTTTTCAACATCATTTGAGTGGGAACCCCGAGAAAGTGCGAGCATGGGAGCCCCTGGGGCCCCTGGTAATGGGCAATCCAAGCTTTAGCAGTTATGGAACAGCCCCTATCTTCAATGGGAAATCATTCACAATCAAGATGCAAAAAAATAGATGGAAGATGTTCCACTGCCAACTTTGCTTGGCGCCCCAAGAAACCCTCGCAGGAATGACGGTATAGGGGGAACCACCCAAAATCTTGTTATTTATATATTAGTTATCAGTTCATGGTTGGTGATTTAGTGTAGTTTAGCCAGAACATATCTCATACATCTCAGATTCTCAACTGAGGAAGTGGATCCAAGAAGGACGGGAAGATGTTCGCATGTCCACTTTGGCCGAGGATGCCTTTGACCGTCCACCTACCGCAGACGAGCGTCGCTTGATGGAGGGGATGATGGCCGAATGGCATGCCGCTGATTTGGCGGATGTGGGTGTCTATGAGGACGACGGAGGGCCCCACCTGGCCCATTTGATGATGTTTGATGCCCGCAACTCTGTGGGACCCACATGGGGCCACGGATTGTTGAACCTTGTTTAATATATACAGATTGTTGAACGTTGTTTAATATACAGCAAATATATATATATATATACAATGAATGGATGCTAACATGGTTCATTTGCCAACCCCAGATGGCTGAGCACAACCACAACAAAAGGTTGCCTCTGGCCACTGGACGCACCCGAGCAACAGGCCCTAATGGCTGCCGCTGAGGGATTATTCACACTTCACACCCCCCTCGCCGATGACATGGTCCCATGCCATCGGTGACAAAACAATCAGGAAGCCCTCTGCGCTTTGGAACATGCCGTAGCTCCCCTCCAACTGGTGCCGTCAAGCTTGTGTTTTTGGCTTGCAGCCCCCCTCCAAGCTGGTGCCATCAGCTCATGATCCAACCTCGTTCAGTGGCCGAGGGGTATGAGCCACCAAGCCCCCCTAGTTAGGCGCTCACTGACCACAAGTTCTGCGGCCTCTTTCTATTTTGGGCCTTTGATCTCATATCCGGCTCAGTAGAGCATTGCGGACTGATAACCTGTGAATGGATGCTAACATGGTTCATTTGCCAACCCCAGATGGCTGAGCACAACCACAACAAAAGGTTGCCTCTGGCCATTGGACGCACCCGAGCAACGGGCCCTAATGGCTGCCGCTGAGGGATTATTCACACACACATATATATATATGGTTTTTACCATTTCATACCCCCTACTTCGGGTGATCCAGCATATCCATATCCATATCCCCCTTATAAAATTGTGTGAGGATACGGTCACTCAACGAGATAGTGGATCCCAGGTTCTATAAGGTGGGGACCCCAAGATAACTGCTGCAAATAACTCCAATCATACTATGTCTAGTTATGGTTTATGGATGTTTATAGCTATTATAGCCCATAGTAACGGCCATGGTGGTCATAGTATCATATAGTATCCATAGTCAATTCGGGCTTGAAAAAACAGCTTACAAATAAGTCTTGGTGCCAATCCCTCGGACCTGAAAAACCTGAAAAACCGGCCCCTTTCTCCCGACAGGACGATCTGTATAGCGAACGGATTCGGCAGTTGGCCGTATCCCGACCCGAAATTTTGAGCGAGGATGGCGATGAGGGGCACTGGCGCATCTTGGGGGGACATCAGGGGCTGGCCGAAAAGATGGCTCAACCGTGACTGGGTTATCTGGGTGACTGGAGATGGCATGAAAACAACATGACCAAAAAACCAGGGGAAAATGGTCGCACACCGAAATAACAGGGCGAAGATCAATGTCGTAAATGGAGGATTGCTGTGGATTTATCAAAAAGTAGATGGGAAAACAACAGGATGACATTTGGAAATATTTGGAAATATTTGGAATAGGTTGGTCTGTCAAGACATGGGGGCATAACCTCAATCTGTGGCAAGGTTTTGATGAGGAACATTGATGATAAACCACCGGACCCAAGTCTTGCCAGTGGCCTGACTCTTTTAGATCTTTCAGGAGTCTTGGACTGCAAATGCCTAATGTTTAAGGTTTAAGGGGACTCTTCCACAAACAACGTATTACTCGAAATCATCATATGATTAATGTCAAATCGATTTTTAGATTCCGGTTGATTAATTATGGTAGCTCACCCCCCAAAAAAGGTCTGCTACACAAAATGGCGCCCCTTCACAAAAAAAAACGGGTTTTTATTAATCCAGAGATGACATTATATAACCTTTCTCATCCAATCTCATTCTGGGCCATGATTCTGGACCATGATTAACCATCAAACATGCCCAAGCCCTACTTTTTTGCCATGAAATTGACATTGTCCCACCACTCGATTGGAAAAATCACCATTTTTTTCGGGGTTTTCAGGTTAGATCTTCGCCTCGGCAGTCGGGTCGCCGCCATCCGCTGGTCCAGCTCCGGTGTCCGGGTGAAGCTGGCGACGGGCGCGGAGCTTCGAGGCCGCTGCGCTGTGGTCACGGTGCCACTGGCGTGTTTGGAGGACCTGCAGTTCCACCCAGCGCTGCCGGAGAGGAAGCGTGGAAAAATGTGGCAAAAGTGGCATGGGGAAAATCAACCAAGTCTTTATGGGGAGGGTTAGAAATGATTTCCGGGATGTTTTTATGGGGATATAATTTATGATATAATGGGATGCTCGCCATGTTTGATTGAACTATACTTTTTAAATATATATGATATATAAGGGACCACAAGAAATCAAAATCGCGGAGTGGCGAGTTATCTGCTGAAGGTTTGATCTCATCTCATCAATCACTCTGTCAAGGCGTCTGACAGTCCTCAACTTATGAAGCATGTGTTGATTCGGCCACTGATCATGAGGAATGCTATTAAGAAGGTTCATGATTTGAGCAGAAAAAACATGTAAGTCCGAAGCTGAGTAGCCATGTAATTCTACTTGAAAGATGGACTGAGAAGTAATCAGCGACCCACGGACGCGATCCAAGTCAAAGTAACGAGAGACCATTTGAAGCACTGCACGACCGCGTGGAGCGGTCCCATTTGCATAATTTTTGCACGATTTAAATCAGAAGATATCAGAAGTGAAAAGGGATACTGTATTATTGGATGATTTTTTGGTGGTGGGCCGCAAATCCAAGGAAGCAGCTGGCCATCAAACGGCTGGGTAGGGGCATCACCACCACGGTCTACTTCCATTTCCGCGAACGTTTTTGGCCGGAGAAGATGGCCTTTCTGTTTCACAGCTTGTCCTCGCAGGCTTTTTGGCCTGGGCGGAACAGGACTGGTCGCCTCTGGTGATTTTGTGGCTTTGTTTCTTAAGTTGCCCTGTTCATGTGGGGATGGGTCAAAACCCTATCCCCCTGTAGTTCACATCAAAATAGCTGGGATTTATGGATGTTCATCCCCTAAAAATGGCATGTATAGGTATTGATCCATAGCCATGTGTTGGTTTGTTTCCTGACCCTAAAAACCACATAAATCACTTCAGTGTTTCGAAAGTAGTCATCCCCCAGCCGAGCGTTCCAGGACGGTTCTGACTGCCTACTTTGGAGGTCAAACAGCCAACGCGCAGCTCCTCCAGTTGGACGATGCTCAGCTTTCGCAGGAGATCCTCCGGCAGATGGCGGAGATTTTTTCGAAGCCACTGGCGGAGCTGCAGCAACTGCTGGTGAAGAGCGATGTGCGACGCTGGGATAACGTGCCCTGGATGCCCTGGTAAGGATGAAAGATCAGGAAAGATCATGATCTTAAGGTACCCTCTGGTAATTTAACATAGCTATTGAAAATGACCATTTATATGTTCCCATTAAAAATGGTGATTTGCCATAGTCATGTTAGTTTACCAGAGGGTATCTTAAGGTCAAGGTTGACGTCAAAGGTGCTGTTTTGATTCTTAGTTTTGGTGAAGGTTGATATTGAAGGTGGATTGAACATCCATGGCCGTGAGCGTCCAGTCAAAATGGCTGTGAGCGTCCAGTCAAAATGGCTGTGAGCGTCCAGTCAAAAGCAAAGCATATGTCACCTACCATATGTGTTTTGATTTCGTGGAGGGATAGGTTTCGGAGGTTTTCGACCCACGGTTTCTAATTCCCATGGGTTTTCCATTTGATTTCAGCAACTCACGGCCGCTCATCTCGGTTCTTCACTCCTCCAAAAAATCTGATGCAGTCGCAGCATGGGTTCAAGGACAGATGTGCAGGACAGGTGTCCATCTTTGGGCAAAAAAACATGATTTGCTGTGGATTCCCCCTTTACCATCTGGTTATTTAACATAGCCATGGAAAATCAGAAAATCACCATGTTTAGTAGGTAAGCCATCTATTTCTATGGGCCATCTATACCATGGCTATGTTAAATAACCAGAGGGTAAATCCCCTGATATCTTGGATCTCCCAGAGTTCTCCCAGGATCCCTTTGCCAAGATGGCTTACTCCTACTGCCCCGTTGGCACGGCCCCTTTACGCGCCGAGCTGGCTGCGAGTTGTGGTGACAGGCATCAGTTGCTGTTTGCTGGCGAGGCTACACACCCCACCAAGGCCAGTTTCGCCCATGGGGCGCTGGAGGAAGGCGAGAGGGCGGCGATGGAGGTGTTGGTTTCACCATGATTTGCTGAGTCGTCGAATTTTTTTTTGGTTCCCCCGATTTATGGGGAATTCACCGGAATATGGGGGTTCTAGAGGGGATAGTTGTTGAATGTTGTTGAATTTTTTGATGGTCCTCTTGAGCAAATCTAAGGAACGGCTCCAAAGGAGGTGAAGAACCCAGGATGAGACGTAGCAAAAGGTTGGATCCTCCATGATCAAGTGGTGAAAGATGAAGAAAGTGGTTGGAAATTTGTCACTTCTAGCTGCTTCTAGCTCTTTTGAATAAGAAGGCAGTCCTAAAATGTCCTAAAGAATTATTTCAACATAGATTTTCACTATTTTCACTTCACAGGAGTTGGATCCAGGTAGGACATAGCAACCTCACGCCGTTGAAAAAAAAGGCCCCCGTCCTGCGCACAGCCTCCACAGCATGGCGTTTCTGACCGGTGTTTTCGGAATGCTCAGGCCGTGGCGACGAAGTCGAGCCGTGAAACTCAGTCCAGTTGATGGCATCAATGGGCAGTTGATTCACCAGAAATTTGGGGAGTTTACCCCAACAGTTGGGTCATGAGGATACCGGATACCTGTGGTGTTTGTTAGGGCAGTTGCTGGCTTGTCCATCAGCATCATCGTCGTGGTCGTCGTCATCATCGTCATCGTCATTTTTATCATGTTCATTATTTAGGCCAAAATTCCTGCAGAATGAAGTTAGGGTGAAAAATGTATTTTTTATTTTTGTTCAAGTGTTGCCAGGTTTACGCCGATGAACATGCATGTTCGTGTAAGGACCCATAGATACAACATGTTTTGTTGCCAGATGCAAATAGCTGGCGAAGTTTTGCCGGTGAAGTGTCCGGCAAAGTTTCTGAGTGAAGAATGTGGTGTAAGTGTGTGGCGAAGTTTGCGGCGAAAGATCGGCGAAATGTTTGCTTTTATGTTCTTCTTTAAAAATTCCCCCGAAATTTCACAACAAACTTCACCATGCACCACAGCCTCGGACCCAAACAAAATCAGGCGGCGAAATTTTCTCCACCAAATATATTCATTATAAGATCTTCGTGGCACAATCTGGGTTCGAAATTTGTGGGGTCGGTGTTTTGATGCAACGCATTTCAGAACGGCTCAAATCTACGATTGCAGGTTTAGGCGGCTGCGGCAACGATCATGATTTTTGTTTTACCCCAAAAAAATGTGCAGGCACTTCTGGGGAAACATTGGTCCAATATTTGCATTAAAAGGGTCATATTTTCCGATTTCTTACAGCCCTTTTGTGTGACTTGAAAGGTGGGGGCAATTCTCAGCTCTCAGACGTGTTCTCCCATCAGCAGTTTGATTATGTTATGACCTGCACTTGGACAAACATATCAAGAATCCTGAATCTTACACGATCAAGTAGTGCAAAGGTGTAAATCTGCTCCTGCAATGATAGATGCAGAGCCAATAAAAGTAGATAGCCGACCTGGCAGCATCGATCTACAAGGAGTTTGGTGAAGAGTGAAGGAATGTAGCCCCAGGTGCCAAGAATAGTTCATATAAAATCTGTTTTGAGGGGGTTCAAGGACGACATTTTTTAAGACATCGAATGACCTTCGGGCGCCGTGAGGCTCCAAACTTGGGGCAGGCGCCGCTTGTTGTATCTCTGGTAGCTATGGCTATGGCGCAGCACTCCCACAGATCAAGACAGATCATGGCACATCATATGTCGAAATATGTTTAGGTATGTTGAGCAACCAGAGCTGAGGTGAATTTATGTGTTATTGTTGTGTGTGTGTTTGTGGCTTTTGAAATTAGAAGGCGCAATTCAACCTTTTTTGGATAGGGTCATGATTCTAGAAACGGCAGGTATAAAATGATTAAAATGTGGGGTATGATCGCATTGTTGAGTGGAAGTTGGTTTTGCCTCTGCGGTTTAGCTGCTAAATGTTGACCTCCATGTTTTCTGGGTGCAGAACAGTTGCATGTACAAACAGCTTGTTTGTAGTGAGATCTTTGAAGCCATCAATGATTAGATCAGTGGTAGAGCAATCCATACTAATAACATGGTACATATTCATCATGGTGAGCTGTATATTATAATTTGTAATTTGTATATCATCTTTTTAAGGGTGTGGGCAGTTTCTCGCTCGAGTCCATCGCGACCAGTCCTTTCTCAGCACATGATTTCATGGATTTCTGTGGGGCCCAACCACTTCGTACTCGAGTTGTTGCGTTTCTCTTCTAAATTACAATGCGTAATCATCCAAAAATATCACAGATCATCCACATATGAAATCCATAATCCTTTATCATATATAGCTACATGTATAACATACATATAGAGTACTCTGAGAACTATATATGATATGTCCAGGTATGTGAGGCTCGATGGGGCCCCATAGCACCTTGCCCCGAAGAGGCGGTTGGGTGGTGCCGGCGTTGGAAAACCATACCGTTCGGTAATTTTTGACGTGGTTATATGGAAAATTACATAGAATTACCATGAATTAATGAATTACCCATTTATAATTGACTTCAATGGTGATAATTTTGGCGTTAAAACATGTTAAAACTATATATAGTATTTATTCTTCATGGAGATCGAGAACGGCGACTGATTGGTAAACCCCTTGCGATGAGAAAAAGGCCCAAAGAACAGTGATCATTTGCTACTACAAGAGTACCCCTCTATTTTTTTGGACAGTTTGCCAACATGATGGCTGTGTAGAACTGGAAAATGTTGGAACACCATATGATTCAACGGGAGGTGCAATTTCAACTGTCTTCATCTAGAGTGTCAATCACCAAAAACAAAATCCGGAATTGACATTCTGGAACATGAGTGCCAACAGTGCCAAACATTAAAAATATGGTTCTCCCTTTGTGTCGAATTTCAGTCCCTGGGAGGTGCTTTTGGAGGCGTCCCGCATTGCGATGGTCAAAGCGGCTCAGACATGTCTGGGAGCTGAGCTTCTTCTTGTTGATCACCATCGGATTGCAGGCATAGCCTGGCTGGAATCCACCTGGCTGGAAAAATCTGTTGAGTTTTTTCCTGATCATAGAATCTATAGATGAATATAGATGAATATCTGGAGTTCAAGATGTTCCATGGCCGTGGATTTCCAAGAGATCACATGTTATCTTTGGACTCCCTGAGGGTATGGCCAGTGAATCAAGGCACCCTGACACGCAGCCGCATCAATAGTGCTGCAGCCTCAGAATCCTCAGATGATGATTTGGAATATTTAGGAATGACCCCCAAATGGTTGGTTATTATTGGGATTGCCAGATGTGGTAAGCCCCAATATATATAACTTATTTATATATACCATATTTCACGGCTCCAAGTTTGGAGGGTTTATATCGCCTATTTCTATCTATTTCTGGTAATGCGAGGGGCGGTTGAAGTACCTCTTTTGCACATTTGAGTTCTCAAATTATTTCCCAATGAGTCAATGAGCAGGAAATTTGGGGATTTGAGTCGGGAATTTGACCACGGCCACGGCTGATTGTTGACCAGTCCCTACTGTGGATGGTTGTGAAATCCTGCGCCAGTTGATAGATGGTTTATCCCACTTTTTCTAGGCTTTCAACATATTTTCACCCATCCAAGTTGGTGCAGGATTTCACAACCCTCCACAGAATGTACTCTGGTTGGTGGTTTGGAACATGGCTTTTATGACTTTCCATATGTTGGGAATGGAAAATCACCCCAACTGACTTTCACTCCATCATTTTTCAGAGGGGTAGGTCGACCAGCAACCAGTACTTTACTGATGAAAAAACGGATGGAATTGTAGCCGGGTAGAGCTGAGGCTGACGCCAGCACCGTGGCTGAAGGTTGGACAAGACGATCTGGGAAGTCCAATGGTTGATCATCTCTTCATGGGCTACCCTTTTGGTAGTCAAACATGGTTTGCTGGAAAATCCACCCTAAATGCCTACCCTCTGGTAAACATACAACAGAACTATGGAAAATCACCATGTTTAATGGGTAAATCAACTATTTTTATGGCAATTTTCAATAGCTATGTTAAATTCTCAGATGGTAAATGCTGTTTATAGCTGGGAAAATCATGGTCTATGTGGATGCTCCGTTTGAAGTTGGGGGTCTCCGATTGACAAACCCTCCAGTTTTTCGGGGGGCTATAGTCCCTAGCTCGGAGCAACTCCAGTTTCGGGCAGGCGATGACAACGAGAGCGTCGGGCCGTTAGCAGCCTCAGACATCCATCATTTCATCTGTGGGAGGTTTAGCCTTTTGGCCCCTCACTGCTGGGATAAAGGACGTCAAAGGACCCATGACCCCTTAAATCCCCAGAAAATCGCGGCACAATGCGGCACACATGTATAAACATCTGTGCCGAGGAAAGGCGGTGAGGTTGGCACTGATGGAAACTCCCGGCCGTTTGGAGCTCAAGATGGCCTCTATAGAATTCACCGAATCGCGTTGACCTGTTGATGAATGAACTATCCGTTGAAAATTGTTGGAATTTCGGGATACCTCATATTCAACATGTGTCACCTGGGCCCAGGTTGCCGTTGCCCATGACCTTGACGGGTGAGCCATGCAATGTGGAGGTACCATTGGTAGCCCATGCTAGCCCATACATAGGGATGAGAACCATGGTTGTTGGGATGGTTTATTGTTGGGTTTACCTCACTACTCTACATATCTGATCATGTTTGCACATGCCACTGTACATGCCCATGTCACATATGTTCTTTGGTGCTAACAAGCGGGGCAGATCTGAGCCATGCTCCTTGGCACTCCTTGGCACTCGCTGTGAGGATTGGCTCCAGGTGGTCATCACAAAAAAAAAGGCAGAAACCTCATGGGACACCGTGATCGAAGCAAAAGCTATGGCAGCCTATGTTCTGCCCCAAAAAAAATCCGTAAACCTTTCTAGTTGGGGGTGGAACAATTTTTCGGGGAATGCCTGTGATGGCCGATCGGAGCCACCAACGTGAACTAGGAGGCGCGCCGAACGGAGATTGCGGCAGAATCTCTCAGTTGGGACCAAATTGGAAGGCGACGACTCCCCAAATTCCCGTTTTTTTCCCATGCTTTGGATGTACTTATCTTACCAATACCTATCTGCACCTCCTATACGTCATGGCATCACGTAACAACTTCAATTGGCCACGCCGATGTTTCCTGGAATCATAGGGCGCCGGGAATTGTGCCGTTTTTTTTTTTGTGATTTTGGGGGTGTAAATGTAGTAAGATAACCCCCCCCCAAGTATTGGGATGACCACTTGGTGAATGATTGGTCCCCTACTTGGATTGGCGGATTGCCGCTAGGCAGCGGCCTTTTCACATGAATAACCAGTTTTATTAGCCAGTTATATCGTTGAGAAGTCTCCAAGCCAGTTATATAAGTTACAAAATATACCACAGGTATACCATGGATATCACATGGATATGCCATGGATATACCATGGATATACCATAGAAATCACATGGATATGCCATGGATATACCATAGAAATTACATGGATATGCCATGGATATACCATAGAAATCACATGGATATGCCATGGATATACCATAGATATCACATGGATATGCCATGGATATACCATAGAAATCACATGGATATACCATGGATATACCATGGATATCACATGGATATGCCATGGATATCACATGGATATACCATGGATATACCATGGATATCACATGGATATACCATGGATATACCATGGATATACCATGGATATCACATGGATATACCATGGATATCACATGGATATACCATGGATATACCATGGATATCACATGGATATACCATGGATATACCATGGATATACTATGGATATCACATGGATATACCATGTATATACCATGGATATACCATGGATATACCATGGATATCACATGGATATACCATGGATATCACATGGATATACCATGGATATCACATGGATATACCATGGATATACCATGGATATCACATGGATATACCATGGATATCACATGGATATACCATGGATATCACATGGATATACCATGGATATACCATGGATATACCATGGATATACCATGGATATCACATGGATATACCATGGATATCACATGGATATACCATGGATATCACATGGATATACCATGGATATACCATGGATATCACATGGATATACCATGGATATCACATGGATATACCATGGATATCACATGGATATACCATGGATATACCATGGATATACCATGGATATACCATGGATATACCATGGATATCACATGGATATACCATGGATATACCATTGACATATCTTGGTTTCACCCACCGATCCGGGAAGTAAGCCGCTAGGCATTCACTTGGACCTCTCCCCAGCCGTGACCAGAGGCGCCGTGACCACGGGCTGACCTAGGAGCCATGTGGCTGTGGTTCGGACATGAAGTAAGCCCCAAAGTCCCCAAAGAGATAGAAATTGGTCAAATCGAAGTAAATGGTGATCAAAATTTGTGATCAATGACTTTTTCTATACCTTTTGGGTGGGGTACTAGATGCTTGGAGTAGGAGACATCCCTCAAGATGATACCACCAATAGCCGGGACCCTTAAAATGGACGGGCGTTCCAATTCTGAGTCCGGGCGTTGAAAGGATGGTATTCAATATAAAGGGAAGGGATTATAAGACAAAAATCTCGCATGCTGTGATAATCTTCGATGTCTTGGGGCTACGTCCCAAATCTCTATGAAGGTTTATAAAGGGATTACTAACTAATTACTAAGGATTAATGTGATTTTCATTCATGTTCTAGAATTGGTGGAAATTTCAAGGGAAATACTGCCCTGTAGGCAGATTCACTACATCGATTTTTCATGATTTTTACATACCATCCATCTGAATTCCCCCAAATTATCGCCGCCAGATATGTCCAGGCCAAGTGACAGTACAAGAGGCTGGCCATGCCGGGGATCTCAGACAAACAACCCATTTCTCGGGCGGAGATTACAGATGGGATGGAAACAATCGGATTTGATCCACTGAGAGAGTTGCTCCATCTGGGATACCCTCTGGTAAACTGTCCCATAACTATGGAAAATCACCATTTTTCATAGGAAAATTCACTATTTCTATGGCAATTTTCAATAGCTATGTTTGACAATTACCAGAGGGTATGTCATGTGATTTTTTGTTCATCGACTTCGGGGAGTTCACTGAGTTGACTGAGCTGACCCAGTTGACCCAACTTCCCGCTGAGGACTTCGTCCGATCTGATCGACGTCGTGCATCCCTGTGGCAAAGTTTGAATAAGCCGATGAATGTGTGCGACAAGATCGTGCAGCGGCCAAGATTCCGTGGGTTTATTTCATACGTTTTAGGGGAAAATAAATTAAGGTGGTACGGCCATAAAGTATCGTGATTTCAAGCATGATCATCCATAAGGGAAGCTACATCATGGGGCTGGGAGATTTTAATACCTTTTGACTGTCTGACGAGAGCCTTCAGGGGTGGCAAAGTGCAAGATGGTGGCACGTGCGATATCACAGCCGCATATGAATATCGTGTGATCTGCACCCACGCAGAAGGAAATTGGAGTCTTCAGGCGGAAATACGTTCCTTTCTAACCCTGGAACAGTAAGTTCAAAAAAAAAATACAAAAAAGTTGGTTTGCCTGACAAAAAAAACGAAGTAAGACCAAATTGAAGACGGACGTAGAAAAAGATAAAGACCCAGTTGAGGAAAGGAGGTCATTGATCAAAACGAGGTCAGGGAATGGAAAACGAAGTAGGGTCCGCCCCGCTTTCTGCAGTGATCAAATAACTTTCCTCGCTCAGATAGCCATTCTGAATGGTGCAGGTTTTTTTTTGAGTGTTTCCTCCAATAAATAGGGGAAATACATATAATACATGCCTCCTCGCCATATCTCGCCAAGAGATGACCATTTGACCTCATGGGACAACCCAACCCATTGGATCTGTGGTAGCGGACCCAGGTGCTCTTCTTTGGCGCGTTGATGAGCTCGTCCCTCTTTGCCTTTCATCATATGATCCCAAGCCCGTGGGATTTGATCTATGTGGTGCTCGGCTGTCTCATGATGCCAGACGCTTGCCAGAAATGGTGCATGTGTGGAAGCTTTTTTTCAGCTGGGGCAGGGTTTCAGGAAGATTTTTGTTGAAGTATCCACTTGAGTTTCTAGATGTTTCCAATTGGATGATGTTGGATGTGGGCTGCTGTTGGCCTGTGCTAGTGGATGGGGCATTCCAAAATTCATGTGCACCATCCAGCTGAATTTTGGCGGAGATGGGCAAAAGCACAGGTATCCACCAGAGATTTCACTTTTAAATATCAGTGTTAATATTAGTGATATTAGTGGGTAGAATGATTATTCATGTGAAACTGGATATCATGGTAACTCATGGTATTTATATAAAATTGCATGTGCTACTATATATACTAAATATGTTCAAACAGAGCCCATAGAAATGGGAGAATCCGGTCCCAAACTGGAGCACCTTGAGGCCATCTTCTTTCTGATTTTGGTGCGGCACGTGCCTCACAAGAACGACGACAGGTACCACGTGAGCCGCGTCTGGGCGCGCGTGATATATGGTGAAGATGTAGATCGACCCCTTGCACCCCGGCATCACTTGGCCAGTGGACATGGCATATCATGGCAGAAAATGGGTGGGAGGTGGAATAGAATCAGCCATTTGCGGAAAAGATGTACAGTAGTTCTTATAGTTTTTTGTTTGATCTTCGAAGCTTATAAGATCCCCTATTTTCATTATGTTTCATCCGTTCGATTTGCTGTTGCTGATTGTTTTCCTCCGGAATTCTGCAGCACTGCCTCTCAAAAACCCAGGGCCCAGTCTTAGAAGATCCATGTCACATGCAAAATCCGGAAATCCGGCCCATGCCATTTCCAGAATTTGGATGTCTAAAATGGATTTGAAATGAGGAAAAATCATGAAAAATCCCATTCCATCATATGCCATGCACTAGTTTATCATGGTTTATCATTGGTTTATCCTTGATATTTGCCCCATGAAATTGCCAGACATTCGCCCAGCCGAGGCCCTGTCACGTGTACGAATCGCTGGCACTAAGGGTGGCAAGGGCATGATCCAGGAGAGGGGACATGTTGGCTCAAGCTCATCCTGTGGTGCTGGGCTAATTTTTATGGGTAACGTGGGTAAAACATCATGTTTACCATCCCCCAGTCATCACCAATTTTTTTGGTGGTATATATAGAAACCATTCCCACTAGATCACCATTTTGAAAGAACCCCTCCCACCACTTGCGCGCATGCGGGCACAGCTGCCCCTCACCCAAGGCCGGCTGGGACTACGCTCCGCTTACGCGTACTGGCCGTCTTGGGCCGACACCCTCCCGGCCCCCCACCGCCGATCCCCTGGCGTCACCAGCCACATCCTTCTCCAGTGAACACTTCCGCGTTCTCCTGCGGCGCCGTGTGCGCCTCCCCCCCCCTTGACAGACGCGCATTGCCGGTGTGGGGGCCCTCTGGATGAGTTTGGTGACCACCGCAGTGCATGCCCCACCGCTGGCTTCCTGCGCACCCGCGCCCTGCCCCTTGAACGCGCCGTCGCCCGCATTTGCCGAGAAGCCGGAGGCACATTGCACACCAACATCCCCCTCAACCAGATGAACCTGCCCCACCCCCCGTAAGACTCTCGGGCGATCGAGGTCTTGGTGACCGGCTTGCCCCTGTGGCATGGAGCCCCGCCACCCTGGTCAGCCCCGTTGGACGCGACGGCATGCCCCGCCGGCGGGCCGACACCCACCCCGGCGCCACCGTCCAAGAAGCGGCGGGACGCAAGCGCACCCATGCAGACCTACCCGGAATTCCACAATTCCCCGGCGTGCCGCTTTGCGGTCTTTGGCCTTGAAATCGGCGGCCGGTGGTCCACCGAGGCGGTCACCTTGATCCGCCCGCTGGCCTTCGCCAAGACCCGAAGCACCTGCCGCTGGGCTCGCCAGCAGGCAGCTCGAGCCTGGCCCCTGTCCCTAGCCGGCTGCCACCTAAACCCATAAACACAGACGCGCAGCAAAAAGGAGTGTGGGGCAAAAAAAAAAGAAGCTGAAACAAACACGCTTGAAGGCAAGGCTGAAAAGATCGGCATGAATCATAAGTGACATGTTTTTAATGTTCAACCCTATTTGGAACGATGATCATCCGCCGGGCAGGACCATGGGGCCACTGGTGAGCAGTGTCATTGCATGGGGATCTGTGCAAGCTGCGTATGTTGCCTCGCCGTTGCTCAGCAGTTTCGTGGAGGTTTGTGTGGGGGAAATCCATGGGTCTATGTGGAGAAGTCATTTTTTGATCTCACTGCGACGTCACTGGAATGATGGCCAGGTATACCAAGTAACAAGTAACTATAGCTCCAATTGCCTTCAGATGGGTGAATTATTGCAATATTCATACTACAATTGATAGTATAGGCCCCTATGGGGGTTGTAATCATCTTGAACTTGAAGCTTGATCGGATCAGCAGATGCAAGATCTGCTGGTAAATCTGCATCATAAGCAGGGTCGGCCCGGCATCACAGATGAGATCATGGCATCACTAGCTTTCTAAGCCCCCCCAAAAAATGTTCTCATGATCTTTTAAGATTCCATGATCTAGTAAGATTCCATGATCTAGAATCACTAGCTTTCCAATGATTTTCACTAAGCTCTCCTAAGCCAAAAAAAATGCGGACTTTCTGATCTCATTTCCCCACCAACCCACCAAGGACTTCAACCGCGGCGATGCTCTAGCTGTACTGCCCTGTGGGCACATGTTCTGTGAGGCTGGGGCAGGGCAGGGCCAGCTGAGAGAAATTAAGAAACTAAAGGCTGAAAGCATGAACAATTTGAACAATCCAACCAAGATATGGACAATTGGATGTTGCTTCAAGAGTCCCGTTTCAAAAACTATTGCGTGATTCACACACTCGTTCACAAATCGTGTCACGACGCCTCCAATGTGCCTAGGGCCCTTTAAGTTCTAGGCAGGTTGATCATGACTAGCAGTTTATCCAGGCAATGGGCAAATGTTAGTCTCGGAATTGGTTTAACTGGTGTTCAAGGTTTGGTTAGGGAACCGTTCAGATTTGGAAGATGATTTATGTAGGAAGTATTCAGACGTCACATTAACAATTATGAGACGACACAAATTGCAGACATTCTGAAGGATCGGTGACCTCGGTGACCTCCCCTGGTGAGGCATGTATCGTGGGTTGGGCATTCTCGGGTAGAGCCTCCTCGCGGTTGTGCCCAATTTGCCGCAGTGAAGCTTGGGAGCCAACGGTCAAAAGATCCTTAAGGATGCTTTTTTGGGTTAATGAATGTTGATGAAGTATATAATGGATTAACCAACTAACAAATGTTAATGAATTGATGGGTTACCCAATTATCCAGCTCAAAACTCAAAGATACCCTGCTCGAAACTCGGTGTTTCGTGCAGAGTATCTAAGGTTGGCCCTCACAAACATCCCCTGGGAGAACTGGCTGGTGTTTTGCCATCCTAAGTGACAGTTCATTATGGAATAGTGTGGGCTATCATGGTGTTTTGATGTGTTTTGCCTCTGTGTTTTATATGTCTCTCCACATGTTATATATTTCGGATTACCCACAAGAACTTCAATGAATTCTCTTTTTTCAGTGTTGCGGAAAAAAGTCTTCAGCATAGATCCATGGCCAAGTTTTGAAAAGATATGGTGGAAGATGCAAAACAAAAGTATCCGAAACCCTTCTTTGCATGTGAGATACACGCCAATGAAATCCTGATAAGATGGCTTGGATCCATTCATGGCTTGGGGAACAAAATTAGGGATGCGGATTCATAATGAATCATACATAAATGACACAATGTCATATATGCATCCCTTCTGGTGTCCTGTAGATGTTGTGCCTCAGGATTTCCGACGCCGCACGCAAGAGCCACGGGTCGAAGCACAGGTGGGGCCCCCGTTGTGACCCCATGGCTGGGACATCCCGCGAGAAATAGATATGAGAACATCATCTACACACACACATATATATATAATTATTTACATATAATAAAATATTTACATATGTATAATATTTATAATATATAATATAATATAATATAATATTTAGAATATAATATATATAATAATATATATAATATAATATATTTAATAAAATGTATTCAATATAATATAATTGAATATTTACATACAAATAATATTTACACATATATTATATATATATAATATTTTCATATAATATAATATTTTCATATAAATATACATATAATTATACTATTATATATTTATATAATATGTAATATATCGAAAATTTGAAATATGTATATCATATATATATGTATATGGAATATATTTAATATAGAATATATTCATAATATATATATATATATATTATAATATATATAATATATATAATATATTTTTGATATATATAATATTTTTTAATATATATATATATATATATAATATAATTGTAATATATATGAGATATATATATATATATGATATATAAAGCCTATAATATATAATGTAGAATATATAATATTTTATACATAGTATATTTTTAATATATGTAATATATATACGATATATTATATATATTTTTATGTTTGTAATATAATATATTATATATATACATATACATACATATAGTACATATATATATATATAATAAATGGAAGATTTTCATTGTCATGTTTGATTACTAGTTACAGAGGGTATCATATTTGCCGTTATCGTTGTATCCAACTGGAATTAGTCCCAACCATCTCCCCAAACCATCAGTGGTATGGAGGAGTACTTACTGATTTTTTTAAAAAAAGAAACTCGGGGATTTATAATGATTCATGGCAGTCATAGCAATTATAAGAATAGTTCAGGACTGATATTCATGCCTTGGTGTCAACTCATGTGAAGCCCAAGAAACTTGCCAAGCCTTGAATCTGAACCTTCAGGTGGTGGGCGTCCAGAGTAGTATTGTGTGACTTGGAGTGATGCAAAAGGCGATCCGGACAAGGATTTTAGCACTGGCGGGCTATGGAAAAAAACACTGGCTATTATCACATGTTTATACCAAGTACATCTCGGGATCTCGGGTGGTTCAAATCAGATTTATTTGGTGTTAGGATTCTCCGTCATATATGTTTGATATATAAATCATATGTTCTACCACCTGGTGTTTTCTTACTATCGCTTTTCGGGTTGGGAATAGTATATATCCGATATCCTTAACATGTGTGATGACCTATTGAATCTCTGGTGACGAAAACATGGCCATGAAAATATGCGCATAATCAGAAGATTATATTGTTTATACCCTATGTTAATTTAACATTGTTATGGAAAACCGACAATTTTTACACAATTCATCATTCAGTTGGATGAATTACCTTTTACAAATGGTGTTTTTCCATAGCAAGCGGTTGAATTACCAGAGGCTGATATTAATATATATATATTGGTTTAAATTGGTTTAAATTGGTTTTGGAATATCTTTATTTTTTTATGATTCTAGCATTTCAGGTTGGCGGTTTGGAACAGACATGAGCAGATTGTCATATCGTGTCTATTGTCCACCCAACAACTGGGATGATAATCCCATAGGCAAACCATTGACCAGATTATTTACCCTTCCTTTTTTCAGATGTAGCAGCAATGGGTAGCAGCCCCTGACTATCACCAGAGCCGAATCGCTGTTTCCTTCAGCTAAATGCTGAATCTATACGGCACGACATCAGCATTGCTGCTCGATGCATGGCTTCGAATTCGCGACCGCATAGCCTAAAGCGTCGTGGTGATTTCGGCGTGTTGGCCTACAAAATGCCACACGCATTGCAAGCAAAGTTGCACGAAGCATCAGGAGGTATCAGGAGCTTCTGTGGCGATTTAGCACTTTTGTTGGAGCAAGATTCCAGTCTATCTTCATGGCAAGTTCCTATGATGAGGTATGATGAGGTATGTTTGGGACTGGTTGCCAGGCTTCGCCAAGTCCTTTTGCTTCTATCTCTTGTAGGCCTGTAAAGATGAGAATGTTCTGGCTCTTCCCAGGGCAGATCTCGTTCGAGGCTGGCTACCTCACGTTTGTTGAAGTTTAACGCACATTTCGTTGTCGCTTCAGTCAAGATATGCTATGATATGGAGGATGTATTGCAAAGCATCAGGGTCCCCCGCGTTTGTCTTGGCGATTTGCTAGCAGGGATACAGAAGTCACACCCTATATAGTTTCTCCTATTAAGATTGGTCCACTTTTAATACATCATTTACTTAAGGCATCTTAAGGCATTAAGGCTTGGCTGTGTGTTTGTAGGACCTTGATATCCAGAGGCCAGATCAAGTTCTGGCCCCAAATCTCCGATTTCCAATTCCTCCCTTGGACCTAAAGATGGCCGGTCAGGTGAGGCGATCCGCGCGTTGGAACCACTGCCATGCCACCCCAACAGAGCTTAATTCATGGGAATCCCGCCCCCAAAGCTGATCCCTTGGCCGGATTTTCTGGACCCACCATCCAGCCACAGATTTTCTTCACAGAAAATCACTGTTTCAACTGGGATCAGTTGGGATCAGCTGGAGGCCTCATGATCTTTCAACTCCCGTGGCGTGGCTTTTAGTAGCACCTGGTCTGGTCTCGACGATCTCCGCAGATCCAACTTGGCGCAGCTCAGAAGTCAGCTGCGCGTAGGCGCTGCAGGGCGGTGACGTGTCAGATGTTTGATGCTCGCTTGGTTGGAGCCGCCCTGCATCCCAGCTCGTAAAATCTGAGGAAAATGGAGTTTCACGGAGTTGAAGACTACCATTGAACATCATTGAACCATGAAGCACAGAGGATTGAGAATCCCTGCTGATTGCCAGAGTGAAAACTTGGTTGAACAATCTGGTAACTGGTATAAATCCCGGTCTCGGCTGGGCGAATCTCAGTAGGGTTATTTCACGCATATATAGGTTTAACATATCATATTATTTATTATTATCCTGGTCCTATCGCAATGATAGTACAGTCCTATATAAATCCCAGTTGCTCGAATGATATCCTGGTTATATTGTACAATGAATCTAATCACCATGTCACAATTTACTTGATTGATAATTAGGCTGGTTGCTGGATGATAATAAGTTAACCTGGGTTTAATAGTTTAATATATTAGTAACTTGGTAGCCCCCTTCAATAGATGCCGATAAGTTTAACTACCGGGTGGTAGTTGGATGATGTTCGCCTCATATCATTTCCAGACGTCCAACTTTTCTACCCTTTGGTTATTTAACATAGCCATGGAAGATCCCTTATAAATGGAGGTTTTGATGGGAAAATTATCTGCAAATGGGCCATGGCTTCCATGGCTATGTTAAATAACCAGAGGGTATATCTGTTTGGTTGGTTTTATGCAGTCACTGCGAGTCGAGGATCATCTCACGAAGCGTGACTTCGTTTTTTTCTAAGTGGGCTGAGTTCACCCAGTCAGAAAAGCTATGGCTATGGGGGCCACGTTCATCGTGGACTTGTGAAAATTAAGGTTATGAAAACCACTTACCCTCTGGTTCTTTAACATCACGATGGATGGAAACCATTTTAGCCCATGTTGATGATACACATATAATGATTTGGTTGGTGGTTTGGAACATGGCTTTTATTTTCCCCAATAGTTGGAATGATGATCCAATCTGACGAACTCATATTTTTCAGCGGTGGCTCAACCACCAATGAGTGATGTCCCTGTCAGGAGCTTCGAGAATCGGCTCACCAGATCGCTGCTTTGGCACCGGTGCGTGCCACTGCTCGGTCTGCGGGGGAGGTGTTGCTGTTTTTGGGGTGCCGGGAACGGGGGAGAGCTGGAACCGCGTGTGTTTCACCCGCTGGTATCATGGAGAAGCTTGATTTTATGGTGATTCAATGGTAATCTGGTCGGTGGTTTGGAACATGAAATTTATTTTTTCATTTATTGGGAATGTCATCATCCCAACTGACGAACTCATATTTTTTAGACGGGTGGCGAAAAAACACCAACAAGTAATAGTTTACACATACTAAATCTACCGTGTCTACCATAGTCAGCCTAAGTATCTACCGCAACTTCGCCAAGTAGGGACCCATGGGGACCACTTTAGGGTATCGCTTTTTGAATCCCTTCCCCGGTCGGTCATGGTAAAGGTAAACATAGTAGACTCAACTATCAGGGACGCCAATCCATGAATAGATCCCCTATAGTTCAACAATGTTCAGCAGAATTTTGTTTGCTGTCAGATATGCTTTGAATCTTTTTTTTTGGCCGTTTGCCTGATGATCTTATTTGACAATCAGATGGCACAGCTTAGCGAGAAACAAACCTCGTTTTCACATGAGCCACGATCTAAACCCTGGCGTTCATGTTTAGGAAGGGGCCCCTTGTAAGGGTGTGGCGTAAGCAAAAACCTGGTGAGCGTAAGCTCAGCGTAAGACAAGATAAGCTCAGCGTAAGACAAGATAAGATCAGCCTAAGACAAGATACCCGCGTAAGCAAAACCCGTGTGCGCATAAGCAAAATGTATGCAATGGCGTAAGATGGCATCAGTATTTCCTTCTTTGGTGCCAGGATATAAGACACTGAGAACATGGCTCACATCAAGTTCCTGATGATTTGGTTTTGGCTATGGTGCCATTGCCAAAAAACACATTCTAACTTTTACAAACCTTTGAGCACAATCATATATAACTATATATATATATAACCGCCATCATTTTCTCTCCTTAACCAGCCATTTTCACCAACGTTTTTCCGATAGAGGCGTCCCAATGGCAGTTGTTGGCGACCAAGGCCCTGACAATGGCTGGGTATGTGCCATTTGCCTGGGAGGCAGCAATGAGCCTCAGGTCGTGGCTCGGTGGCTGGGGTGGGAAGATGCAGGGATGAAATGGGTGATGGGTTTATGTGGGGGGTAGTATAGATACTAAATTAGGGTGATGATCATTGATGATGATTATAATGTTCATAAATATAGTTATGATTGAAATTTGTTGATTTTTTGAAAATCATTATATACATTATTGTGTTTTGATAAGTAATTATAATATGTTAACACATAATTTTTACTATTGATAATTATGATTATCATAATCATAACCATTGATAATATATAATTTTTACTATTTGGTTATGATTATGGTGACAAGAAATAAGATGCCGAGCGCCGCAGGGGGACTTGGAGGTGGCTGACTCAATCGCGTTGTGGCAGCGCATGGCAGCGCGGATCCGTGTTGTGTTCTCTGGGTTACATGTGCTTACCCCTCTGGTAAACATACAAAAAAATCAAAAAAACTATGGAAAATCACCATGTTTGATAGAGAAATCAACTATTTTCATGGGCCATGTTCAATAGCTATGTTACAAATTACCAGAGGGTACATATGGTTCAAATATAGGATGTTGTGTTGAAATGTTGAAATGTTGTGGTTTTCTCTTTTTTATTTACAATATGATGCAATAGTCAGCACTCATTCAGTTGAACACAGTTAGTTTTCTCAATTCCAATGTCGTTTTTTGATGCCAAACATCGATATTTGACCAGTCAAAATCCACTTTGAACCGAGGTCAAAGGTTGCCTTGCTTGGTGGGACACATAGCTCGTTGGAACGGTGTTTGAGTAGGAGGAAGCTTCAGGTGAAAGGATGACTATCGTGCTGTTCAATCCCGGATCTGGGTAGAATTGTCGATCCCATGAATGCGTCCTTCTTCTTTGTCATGTAAAAAAAAGGAAATCTATTAATGTGTGGGAAGAAACTGTGATGTTTGGATCCAAAACAGGGAATGGATAAGTTTTGTCACCTCCAAAACCCTTCGAGCTTTGGCTCAGTTTTTCCCGTGACCAGCTCTACGAATCGTGATGCTCCCCTGAGGCGAAAACTCCCGTGCGGACACGTGCAGCTGACATGTTTCTGCGGAACACTGAGCGTCCAACCTTTTGGAGAATCCGGAAATAGGGATGGTTAAACAATGTTAAACATCAAAAGGACACACACACACATATATATATATATATTAATACATATATATATACACATATGGGGGCACCATAAAGATCACAAAATAGCTGGTTTATGATATTTCATCATGGAAAATCCCATGGAAAATCCCCAAATGATATGGATGTTCTTCTCCATATGGCAGTTGATATCTGGGCCAACCAGCTCAACCATGGGTCCGTTGGTCGGTCGAAGACCTGGGAGGTCTTTCATAAGAGCTGCGTCCTGCCCTGGATTCGTGTGGGCAAGCTGGAGAGCTCAGCAAAAAAAATGGGCCACAAGTGTTAAGATAAAATGAAAGGGATCTAGACTACCCAAGTAAACATTGTAAATGATAATATTTATATATATGTAATATTATATACATACATATATATATACATGTATATCATGATTTATTGTCGGGTATGCATTCACTGCTAACTAAAAATGTTATATTTATTTATGTCTACAGGTTCAAAGCATTTTTTTGTTAGCAATTAAAAAGGAAGGGAGCGACATATCAAAGGTAACTAGGACTAAGATTCGAAATAACGCGATGAAGAACCAAAACCCATCCATGCAACAACGGGAAACCCCTAAGGGGTCCAAAAAGAACTAGGCCTCTTTGAGTCCCCAAGAAGGATTCGTTCCTTGGAATTCCACAGTCCCCAAGATTCCAGACATACCCTCTGGTACTCTAACAGTTTGCCAAGTGGAACAGCATGAGATATTTCACCATGTTCCATGTTTAATAGGTCAAAATCATCTAGAAACAAGATCAAACAACCGATCATTTTCCTAATTTTCCGCCGAGAAACAGGTCAATTAGCTTCCCCGGTCCTCCGTCGTAGGCCTTGCCCCTTGGGTCGCTGCTCTGTCCCGGCAGCGGCACGGGCGGGGAAGCGGGAGATGCGCTTCCTGCAGTCCAAGAGCGTTTCTTGGCGCTTGAAAATGGCCATGAGTTCGTTGATTTACCCAGCTACAACATGGTGATTTTCCCAGCTACAAAATGGTGATTTAAGATGATTTAAGCCATAGTTATGTGAGTTTACCAGAGGGTAAGTGGGATAACTATAGGTTTAATCCACTTACAACATCTTACAACTGGGGGTATAACATGTGAACTAAGCCACTTCCTAAGCGGGATGAACCACCAAGTCTGTAATCATCCCCAAATGGCCTTAGTGAGAAATTGTTAGTGAGTTACCGTGGTGAATCCGTGGTGTATATGTCAGAATCATTCACTTCAGGTCAATACAATTCAGCAAAATTTTAAAAAATCAGCCAATCTATATATGAAAACGTGGTAGAGCGGTGAAGCTCAGTCCTCCTACAATCAGTACCCTCTGGTAAACTAACATAACTATGGAAAATCACAATTTTTAATGGGAAAATCCACTATAAATGGCCATTTTCAATAGCAAACTGTTAAATTACCAGAGGGTACATCCCACAGTCTCTTGGCCGTAAAAAAATCTGAGGCCTGGCAACTCCTCCCTGACGATGTCGTGGCGCGAGATCTCTTGGCGTTCACCTGGCTTTTTCAGCTGGCTTTTTCTAGGAAGATGGCCATGGAAATGCTGGAAATATCTGGAAATGTTGTAATTTACCAGGTAAATCATGGAAATAGTTAATAAACCTGGGGATGACAAGGGGATAGGGGATATAATGGGGATTTTCTGAGCAACACTTAGCACTTTCTCAAACGCCATTTTCGATGGCAAAGCGTTGCATTACCAGAGGGTTACGGGATGACTCCAACACGAGATCCAATTGATCCAACCTAAGCAGGCATGATGCTACAACATTTTACCATGCGAAATCTACAGGGTTAAAGAATCTTGCTTGTGTAGTTGCAGTAAATGATAGTGAATGGTTTTGTGGTTTGATTGGTTTAAGGCTGGGACATGCTGGGACAACTAAAGTTATCCGTTGTTTTGGAGGGAAATAAGCAACATATTCACCTCATCATACCTCATCCCTTGCGCCAGGTGTGGGCAAGAAGCACCACTTCGCCCCAGGGTGGTCCAGGCATGACCCGGTGCCGGACTTTTTTTAGCACTGCCAGCTTCGTTGGTGAAATCCATGTTCAAACCGATGGTGATCCCCCATCATTATCCCCCTGATTTGGTTATGACGTCAAGATCCGATGGTTTTGTTTGAGCATTCCACTAGCAGGTTGTTAGACTGAAGGCAATCCTGAGGGCAAACCACCTTCTCAATGACGGGGAGTTTGTTGAGTGTTGCCATGTTAGAGTTTAGACCATCCCCAAGGCAAAAGGGAGTAGGTTGACGCATGTTGAAAGGTTAAACGGGGGCGGGTTTTACTATGAAATCCAACCACATCAAGACAACCCCCCAACTCCACGTCAAGAAACACTGTTTCAACTCACTCTGCTCCGAATGAGCTCAAGGGGTTGATTGTGGGAAGCAGCAATATAATCTATTCTCAGGCGTGTAGCTAAGCTGACATGTAGTCGGACATAATATGAAATTACGGTGCCCCCACACCCAAGATCAGAGTGGATGGCACAGGTTAAGCACGTGCAGAATACCATGTTTTTTTTGTTTATGTTTTTTCCAATCCAATGTGATAGCTAAGATTGATATGGCTGTTTCACAATCAATGAAGGGCCAAAATCGAAGTATAAGAAGCCCTGCGGGTTATATCATGTTCGATGGGATTCGCCAGGCACCGCCCCACCTGAGAACAAACCGCCCGAGCCTCAGTGACACGCACTTGTGACTCGTCCTTGCACGCGAAGGTTCTCCAGTTTTAGATCATAGTCATGTCAGTCATGTCTTCCTACTTTACCCCACCCCAACCCCAACCCAAGACATGATCAGTGTGCAGCGCCTGTGTGTGCATGGCTTAATGAACTTTCTTGGCACCCCAACCCCAGACCTGTGTCTACAGATGAGTCAAGTTTGAGTGCGTTTGAGTGCGCAGATGAGTCAAAAATGGAGTGAAAAATGAGTGCGCAGAGTCAATTGTGAGTGCGTTGATGAGTTCCTGACTGACCTTTTCCAAAAAAAAAGTTTAGTGGTTTTGGAAAGACCTGCCATTTTTTGCCATTTAACATGTGATGATCCCAAATGATCCCAAGTGAACACGACAGCTGGCTATTTCCCTGCTTCCAGGACCGATGGGCCGGTGTCCAAATCAGGCTTTCTTTCAGCGTTGCCGACTCAATGATTTCCTCCAGGAACGAACTGCAAAACCATGCAAAACCTACAAACTCAGAATGCTGTGTTCGGACCCTCCAGGAAATTTCAAGAAATTTTGGTTGATTTTGGAAGTTTGGGTGAGGCTTCAGACTTTTGGATGAACGATCATGCCATACATGCCTCCCCAAAAAATCTGAAGCTGAGGCCTGTTGGAAGTTGGGGTACCATTGCAAGCAGATGATGAAGGATAAAGTGCAAGGCAGCAATGCCGGCATGTCAGAAAGCATTTCAAACCCAAACACTATTGCAGAAACCTCGTATTTTCTCGAAGGATTTGGGGGTTGGGATTTGGAAGCTTTGGATATCTTTGGATATGTTTTTGTTCACGGGAAACTGACCGAAAATTCAAAGTTCTTCGCAGGTTGGTGATGGGCGTACCATTGTATGCCCCCTTTTGCAACTTGGCATCACCCTTACAGCTGCAGTTTCTGAAGAGACCCTGCCAGAGCCCAGCCCAGGTAAGAAGTCCCGCTGCAAAGCTAATGAAAGCTTGCAAAATCCGAGCGCAGACCTATCCACGCCTTGTTTAGACCCAGAAACTTGATGTAGATCCCCCAAAATTGCTTTATACAGCAATATCCAGTTGGAAAATCCGATAATCCATCCGCCGCTTTCACACGTGCAGATTTTGCCGGGTCTTAGTCTGATTTGTCACTACTAATAACCACAACTGGCGAAGAGTGCGGCCGGGAGACCAGCTTTCGGCGTGGAAGGGTGCCATGCAAATCACGTGAATTCACAGTGGAAACATGACACCACGCACGATTCGGTGATAAAGCGAGAGACTTTGACCATCATCTCATCATTTTTTGGATCTGGGTCAAAACCCGTGGAATCCCCATTCTGACCACATCAAAACGGCTTGGATTTATGGATGTTCATCCCCTGGATATGGTGTATGTATATATATATATGTGTGTGTGTGTGCGTGTATATATATCATAGATTTTGATCCATAGCCAGGTTGGCATACGCAACATATGCAATGAATGATTTGAGTTCAGTGAGTTTGGGCCCTTCTCATATGTGGGTGGGCTGCAGGTCAAGGACAATCATTTCCCTGCGTTCTCCTCAGCACCCCTTCAGAAACCCTGCAGTAGTTCTGGGCTTATTTAGGTGGGAGTCCCTTTTGGGTTATCCTGTGAAATGTCAGTTTCATCGACAAAAGAGACTAGAGTTAGAGTCTGGAATTCTGTCCTATGTATGTCTAACTTTGTGGCATTCTGTTTTGGAAGACATTCTCAGGGAATGGGCCTTTCCCATTGTTTTGGAAAGGCACTGAATGGCACTGAATGTTCCATCATTAGCCTCCTACATTCGCAGCTACAAGCAGTTGTTAATTTTGCTTCATCTGCCAGGGACCGGCAGACACGTCAGACTGGCCGTTTCCACTGACTTGGCCTTTTTTCAACGGCCATGCTGGGCTGGGTCAGCATGTCGTCGAATTCCCTAGATGATGCTAGGCACAGCTGCAACGGATGGATATGCCACAGCAATGACCAAAAAAACACGATGACCCTTAGCCCTTTGAGGGCGTCGAGCTCAATTTTGGCACAGATGTCCCGCGACGCATACCTCCTGGGCATTCGTAAGCGAGCCCGAATGCTGATGCTGCCAAGCAAATGATGACAATGATGCAGTTGGGTCATGTTGGGAGTGGTTCAGATGATTTTTCCATATGTCATGAATTTTCATAACATATCTGACACCAAGTTTGGTGCTTATTGTGGTGCTAAGTACCCCCCAGAAAGGTGAAGTCTATAGCGACAGTCCGCTGGGATGCGAGAAAGTTTGCTTGGCGTGTCCCGCAGACCAGCCGACCCCTCGATGGCCCAGACCTTGCTTAGCTCATCTTGAGACTGACATTGGCTTTTTGACCAAGAAAACATAGAGAATCATGGAGGTAAAACATGAGAAAAATTGCTAAAAGTTAAACATGTTAAAAGATGATACAACTTCTACATTCTTCCACCCCACAGTTGCAGCTCGACCTTCTGAGAAAGTATTTCGTCACGATTTTGGGGGTCCAAACATAATTTGAGAAGGTGTTTGGAGCGCTTTTTAGCAGCTAGGGCTAGGCAACATATGGAGGATATAGATGGATATGGCGTGTGACTTACAAGAACTAAAAAAATAACGTGCAGAACTTCTTCAGAACCTTTTAAATTCACGTAGCTTTGCCAGCGGTTTGCTGGGGCCAGCAAAGCCTTTTGAAATTGGCTGGTAAATCACCCTTCGTTAAATATAATATATATATATAATTATGTATATGTATATACATACAATTATATTATATATATAATCCCTCACAACTCCGGTAAAACAGTAAACACATAAAGAATAAATATTAGACCCAACACAATTTCGACCACCTTAACACCATTGGCAACCTCTGAAAACCAGTAAAACCAGTTACAACCATTAGAAACTATCAAACCATTTACCTGGAAAGCCAGGCATCCCTTCTGTTAACACAACTGCGCTTTTCTGCATCATTTCTTGCGCCAAAATTCCTGTGAAGAGTTGGTTTTACGCAGTTTTACGCCAGTTTTACGCCTATTGGTTGCGCCACTTTTGTCCATGAACATGTTGATGTGTTGCCGTAAAATCATTCCCAAACCCATTTCAAGCTACTAAAAAACTCGAAAACACGTGTGTAATATTTTTTTAACCAGCTGTTCTTTCCAATCCTTTGGGTCTGAGCCGCGAAACTTGGGGTGTCGCTGTTGGCCAATTCGCCTTTGTGCCTGGTCGCTGCGGCGGTCATTCGGCAAGCCCTTTCCGGTGCGGGGTCACGTCGTGGCTTCACGTCGTGGAAGTTGGCGGATCAACGATGATCAACGGAGCCCCCCAAAAAGCTGAAGGTCGTTGGAGCCGTAGGGTTCAAATGGGTTCAATATGTTTGTTTTTTGGCCATATATATTGTATGTTGGTTTCTTCGTTTTTTTGGGGGGGAGGGGGGGTTTCAATCGGTTTCAATATGTTGTTTTTTTCTTCTTTTTTTTTGAATGTAAGATTGGCCATGATAATGGCACATGGGATTTGAATAGATTTGACGTGGAAGTAGGTGGGTTTGGCACTGCTCTCCCATTTTGCCGTGGCAAAGGTGTACTATGTGATTTTGGATGACATTGGAACCATCCTCTTTAGAATCTGGGCTCCAACCCCTAAGATTCCGAGGGAACATAATGACTGCCTTGCCTTTTTGAAACCGCTAGGTTTCAACACTGTTTTCAGAGCTGTGACACGTATCAATGTATCAACCATTGAACTCACTGAGCCTCAGATTTGGGTGGAATTTGGCTGAGGTCGAATCATCAAATTGTTGTGAATAGGATGATGTATGTTGATGAATAATTATTCACATATATCAAGCATAGGAAGTAGTCCATGTTTGACTTCGGACCTCCTTTGAAATTCAGTGAATTTCCATATATTTACAGCCGATCCAGTGCCACAACTTCCGCGGCCCGCCCTGGGGTAGACACAAATTTTGGCAGCGCATCCGTATGCCGGCGATAGCTCAGCAGATTCCTGCCAGAAGCTCAATGGGCAGTTTTCACAGCGGGTAGAAACGGGTAGCCAAACCAAATGCCGGCAGCTGAAGAAGATGTTGCAACCACACATTTTGTGGAATTATTGGTTTTGATCTCATACTTTGTTTGGATTTTCAGCGTGGTAAATCCAAAAAAAGGTCCAAATCTGGTCAGCTTCATACAAACCCCCATGGCAATACTATATAGAATATAGATATGTTTTGTCCTGCTAAGATAATCAAACTGTGGAAGTAAGTGGAACCCCTCCCCCAT